TTACTGGATGGTTTTGTTTCTTGGGCTATAAATCAAATAAGAATCCAAAATGGAAACAATCACCCCCACCCCCACCCCCACTCCCTCCCCCACCCCCACCCCCACCCCGACCCCGACCCCGACCCTGTCGCTCGTCCAGGAAAAACAAGAACTCTAATCCCTGCATTTCTTCTATCTAGAAAGTGTGAGAGATAGCATAAATAATTACTCGAAACGATGAGAGAGAAAGAGAGTAGCCTAATCCGACAACTCGACTGCTTCACAACTTCACATTGCCTTCGTTCCTCATATGGGGTTACCTAAAACACCTCGAAGCTCGGCAATTCTTCCGGTGATCACCGCGAGGAGGACGGCGGTAGCAATCAGGTGCAGCAAATTTCTGCGATTAACTCCCCCGCGGATGACGATGATATTGAGAAGCTGATGACTGATCTCCGTGCAGCTGCCGAGCACACCGGGCAAAGGGAAAGGCCGGAAGGGCGTGGTCAACAATGGCGATAAGAAACCCTCTGAGGAGGAGGACGTGCTCCAACCCCGCTGCTGCCTGCCCGTGGACTTTGCGTAGTTGCCGAGCTGGTGACGGAACTGGAAAAGTAGTGAACTTAGCGCCGCCGCAGAAGGGTAAGTTTTTCGATCCCTCTCTCCAAAACAGAGATTGAAGCTGATTTCACTGCCATTACCGGTGTCAAACCATCCAGAAAACCAAAGAAAAGGCCTAGAGCTATTCAGAATGAGATTGATGTAATTAAAAACCTTAATCAAAATATTGTAATTTTCACCATTTCTCACCTCAATTCTAATAACTAATCCGGTTTCCTCCATACTGGATTCCTGCAGGATCTTTTCCCAGGCTCGTGGTTGATAGAGATTACTCCAGATAAAATTATAAATATAAACGTCCAGAAAATCCAGATCAAATTGATGGTAAACACAAAACACATTCTTAAACTATGAACGCTTTATTCATCTTCTTCCCCCTTTTCTCTCTAACTTAATTTTCACTCGTTTTGTTAATCTATCTGATCTGAGGTTCCCAGACTATGAATTAATTTAATTTCCTCACTTTTTTTCCCGTGTTACTACATGGGATTTTTTCTGCTGTTTCACTGGGTGAGAGATAAATTAAAGATAATGCATAGGATCGGAGGCAAAGTGAAATTTCAAAGAGGAAAAAGAGTGAATCTTGAAAGGGTGGCTGGTCATTATTTTCACCGTCAAAATCTATCTAGTTTTGAGGTCTGCATTTTGTTCTTCTAGAATGTTGGGACAGGCCAGGTTTGTTGGAAATATCAACCTAAGTCCTCGTACTTACAACTTTGTGCTTTTTATGAACGTGTTGTGCTGTAGAATGCGTACTATAGTTCCTTGACACAAATTAAAGGTTTTGAGTTCTCTTCTCTAGCTTGCCTAAATTTTCTGTGATATTTTCCAGCTATCATTGCTCTATTTCAGTTGCACTTATATTCTTGCTTTTACAGAGATTCCATTATTATCTTCTTCAATTCTTCTTTGACTTTGTTATGTTATACCGTGTGGTGTGGACAAAGTTCAACCCTGACAACGAAATTGTTGGGTTGTTTGTTTCGTGTTTTTGGGCACCCGAATTTTAGTTCAGTGACTTCTGTCCAACCTTGTATAGTTATGTTTATTTGCCGAACTAGCATTGTCAAACTTGATACTTGTTCAACACTAGCTGGCATTTTTAAGAATAGTTCAAAGTTCAAATTCAATTAGAAGGAAATTAGTTTGTTTCAAAATAAAATATTGAGTGTACATGTGAAGTGTTAATGACTAATGAGATGGAGTCTGATTTGACTCTCGTAAATAAGTTTAATCTCGCACCATAAAAATCCATTCACTACTACAGAATATAGCTTTAACCTCAGCTAAATGACCCCATTTAACCTCGGCTATCCTACGACGTCGACTAAATCGACGTTGTAAGAAAATAAACGACGTCGGTCCGACGTCGTATGTTTTTAATTTTTTTTTTAAAATGATACGACGTCGGCTAATTGGCTATTAGCCGACGTCGTATAATTATATTAAATAATATATATACATACGGCGTCGGCTCCGCCAAATAGCCGACGCCGTATGTATTTAATTTTTTTTTTAAATGATACGACGTCGGCTAATTGGCAATTAGCCGACGTCGTATCATTATTTTTTAATTATAAATATATATACGGCGTCGGCTATTGGTCATAGCCGATGCCGTATGTATTTAATTTTTTTTTTAAATGATACGACGTCGGCTAATTGACAATTAGCCGACGTCGTATCATTATTTTTTAATTATAAATATATATACGACGTCGGCTATGACCAATAGCCGACGTCGTATCTATTTTTTTTTTTTTGTTATACAGAAAATGTTTTATGCTCTAGCCCAACCTGCGCTATGCAATCAGAACCTGTGCAGCTAGTTACATTCAACTTCAACATCAACTAATTCAAACTACATACTAAACATGAAACTAATTAAGCACAATGCAACAAAACTACATACTAAAACTAAAATTAATAAAAATAACACAATGCAACAAAACTACTAATTAACATCAAACCAATAAACACAAAGTAGTTTTAAACATAAACTAGTATCAAATTAACAACGTTTTATTAATCCATTCATCAATAAGAAACTTAGACCATTTGTTTCTAACGTCATCAATCTCTTGTTTGTTGTAGGGCAATCGTCCTTCTCTTTCCAAAATCTACAAAGTTCAAAAAAAATAAAAATAATAAATAACTAAATATTTTAAACAACATTTGAAAAAGAAATATGTATTATTAGATTACTTGCCTTATCCATTCATTTGCTTAGGTTGTTGGAAACAATTTCCCACATGAATTTCATCACATAATAACCACATTCGGTGCTTCCTTTTTGTATAGCACACTACATTTGAATTACAATAAAATTATTTTAAAATAGAAATAAAAAACAATAAGTTTGCATGTTTTACAAAGTGAAAGAAGTACTTACCAAACAAGTAGTCCATTTCGATGAACGAGATTGTTTCTTTCCACTCATCATGCTTGTTGCAGTCATACACCTATTCATATAAGACATAAAATATATATAAATATTTGGCATCACTTGTTTAATAATAACTATTAATTCATTATATAAATTTACATACGTTTCCATTATATGTTTAATGTCTTCACGCGGCCCATGACCAAGTGAATCAAACCAAAAAATTTCATTTAATCTAGGACAAATCGCCATCAGCATCCAATGCTCACTACAAATAAGTAATTTATTAGTTATACGTAAATAAGTAAATATAATATAATATAAAAATATATTATATGTAAGCACTTTAATTTAAAACGTAATTAAAACTTACTTGAGAACGTATGGGGCTAAATACACATTTTTCTTCTCATACTGCATGGTGGCATTTATATATGATTTCCTTTCTTCTATATTATTCATTTTTGGTTGAATCCAATATGGATCTAGGAAACCATAAGTGTCTTTTGATGCCAACTCAAAATTGATTTAAATACCCCTATTCACAAATAGAACCAATTATACATAAATAATCAAGAATGTAAATATAAAACTATTATGCATAAACAATCATAAAGAACTATTATTACCTTATAAAGAACTGAACTAGAGAAACATTGATGGTGTCCATACTTAAGAAACACAATATCTCCACACTTTCAAGGTGCAAGTCATACTCAATCGCGCCCATAATACCACGAGCCACATGGATCACAAGATTCTGTTCGAAACGGCGAGCTATTGTAAAAGCCTTTTTGCACTCAGCAGTCAAAGAATCTAGAGCAATACTATTGTCCATGGATTGTCTTTTAACTGTGAATTATAATACAAGTAAGAATTATAGTTTTAAAAAGTAAATTATTTTATATTTTAAAATAGAAATATTATCAGTATACATACCATTAGTATACATATTTAATATTTTAAAATAGAAAAAGAAACAAAGTCTTATGATGGTGTATCTCAACTTTTTAGGCAATATGTCTCTAACAGCCACTGGCAATAGTTGTTGCATTAAGACATGACAATCATGAGACTTCAACCCCACCAACTTTAAATCTTGCATATTAACAAGTCTACTGATATTTGATGAATACCACTGTGGTACCTTTACTCCACGTAAACACTCACAAAAACTTATTTTCTCCTTTCTTGATAAAGTATGAGCAGCGGGAGGCAAATATGTTTTCTTACCCTCGGAACGTGGTGCTAATGTAGGTCGTATACACATTTCAACCAAATCCAATCTAGCATTGAGTCCATCTTTAGACTTACCTTTTATGTCTAAAAGAGTTCCAACCAGACTATCACATACATTTTTCTCCACATGCATCACATCAATACTATGTCTCACATCTAGTGTCTTCCAATATGGAAGATCAAAGAATATAGATTTCTTTTTCCACGGACTCTTCTCATTTGTAGATTTTGATCTCTTTCCTCTTTGAGATTTAAGCTTCTGAGTCTTACCAAAAGTAACTTGAAGGCATTCAACTCGTTCATATACTTGATTCCCAGTCAATGGTTGTGGAGCATCTGTATAGTCTTGCACCCCATTGAATGCCTTTTTTAATTTTCGATAAGGGTGAAATTTATCAAGAAATCTCCGATGCCCCATATATACCGTCTTTCTACCATGAACAAGTTGATGATAACATGTATTATTTTCACATATGGGGCATGCCTTATGACACTATATCCAGACAGATTTCCATACGCTGGAAAGTCATTGATTGTGCAAAAAAGCATTGCATGCAACTTAAAAGTCTCCTTTCGGTATGCGTCAAATACTAACACACCTTCATCCCATAATTGCTTCAAGTCATCAATTAAAGGCGCCAAATAAACATCTATATCATGACCTGGTTGTTTTGGCCCAGAAATCATCAAACATAATAATATGTATTTTCGTTTCATACACAACCAAGGGGGTAGATTATAAATTATCAACATAACTGGCCACGAGCTATGCTTGCTACTTAGATTCCCGTGGGGGTTAATACCATCAGTACAAAGTCCAAGTCTAAGATTTCTCGCCTCGTGACCAAATTCAGGAAATGCATTATCAAATGTTATCCATTGAGAAGAATCAGCCGGGTGTCGAAGCTTGCCATCAGAAATCCTTTGATCTGCATGCCATGTTAAGTTCTTCGCATCACTTGGATTTGCAAACAGACGCTTAAATCTTGGAAGAATTGGGAGATACCACAAAACTTTAGCTGGTGACCTTTTCAAACGTACTTTACCAGCAACATTCTCGCTTGTTTTATAACGAGATGCCCCACATATTGGACATGCATGCAAGTCTTTGTAATCATTCCTAAACAATATGCAATCGTTAGGGCAAGCATGTATCTTTGTATATCCCATACCCATTAGACACAAAATCTTTTTGGCATCATACGTACTATTGGGAAGTTCATTACCATCTGGAAGCATGTCCTTTACTATTTCAAGTAACGCAGTAAAGCTCTTGTCGCTCCACCCATTCCCAGCTTTCAAGTTGAATAATTTTAATATAGCAGATAATCGGGAATATTTACTACACCCCGGCCATAACGGTTGTTTTGAATCATTCAATAATTCATCTAACTCATTTGACCGATTGGTAAACTCTTCTCCAACATCGCGAAACATTTCATCCAACCGATCTTCAGACTCATTATCTTCATTGTCAACATACACATTAGATGTCGTAGACACATCGCGTTCACCGTGTCAAATCCATTGTGTATAATATGGATTAATCCCATTAACGATTAGATCATCATATATGTCCTCTTCACCTAACTTTTTCTGATTACAACATTTCTTACAAGGACACAACCACCTGTTATTACTATTCGGAAGGTTATTCTTTGCAAAGTCTAAAAATTTTCTAACTCCATCTTCGTATTCCGTACTAAGTCGATTAGCTATCATCCAACTTTTATCCATCGCGTAAAAGCCAATCTAGATAATAATAACTCTAATTAAACATTTGTTAACACTATTTTAACAAATTTTGATAATAATAACTACTACAACAACTACAATAATTTTAGCATTTACAAAGTGCAAACAAGTAGCATTTAATGAACGCAAACAAAGAGCATTTATTCATCACGTACAAGCCAATCTAAGTAAAATAATAATAACCATTTGTCATTTCTAGATGCTTTCTTATACATCCTAACTAACCAAAGAACATGTCAAACACAATGTGAATTGAATCTTGCTAAACACAATAGACAAATTGCGTACCCGAGATCGGCGGAGAACAGTGAAGGAGGAGCGCAGCAAGGACTGAACTTAGTCAAACCCGATTGACGCCTAACAAAAAATAAACCAATCAAATATTTTCACCTAAAGAAGTGAAATCAAACGAGAAATAGAACATTTACTCATTAATATATTATCATAAAAACATACTCTAGTGTACTAAAATGTTGTAATATATTATCATAAAAAATCATAAAAACTAAAGCTAATATTATTAATATATATATTGTTAATTAATTTATTATATTACTTGCATTATTTATCCATAAACTAATGGTCACAAATAAATATATTTACACCAGTTTGATGCTTGAACTAAAAACTTTTACTATAACATAGCGAAGTACAATAATCTAAAATTAGTCATTTATGTTGGTTAACTAACCCAAATTAAAATTAAACTATACGTAGTAACAATTAGAAAAGGAAACAACAAATTATAAACAGATTGCTTACTATGATGGAAATAATTAAAATGGGTTCTATATTAATTAGTCCCAGATGAAATTAAAGAATAAGAACAAGATAATGCTAAACTGTAATATCTTAATAATTTATTATTATACTTATAATAAAAGAGATTTTTGCAAACCCATTCTGATTAGTTGAAACGAATGGTTGTGAAAATTTTGAAATTATTTTAAATTTTAATACTTTTTCTCCCTTTAAATTCTTTAATTGAGGGGTAATTAGCAAATAAAATAATATATTATATAGTTGAATCTGACCTTAATAGTTGAATCTGACCTTAATAGCAAATAGCAATTAAATTGAATCTAGTTTTAATAAATTACAAAACAAATTATATATATATACGGTAGTTACCGGCGGCGACCGTGGAGGAGGACTGTGGCGGCGGGCGAGGAGGAGCGGCGGCGTCCGTCCGAGCTTCGATCTGTAGCAGCGGCGTCGGAGAGCGGCGGAGATGGCGTCAGTGCGGTGGATGGCGACGGCGGATAGCGTGGAGGAGGAGGACTGTGGCGGCGGGCGAGGAGGAGCGGCGTCGTCCGCGGGGGCGTGGAGGAGCGGCGTCGTCCCCGGGGGCGTGGAGGAGCGGCGATACAGGCGACCGGTGAGCGGCGGCGTCCGTCCGAGCTTCGGATCTGTAGCGGCGGCGTCGGAGAGCGGCGGAGATGGCGTCAGTGCGGTGGATGGCGACAGCGGATAGCGACAACGGTGTACCTGCCGTGTATGCGTCGATGACGACGTCCGGCGTCCGGCGGCGTGGCAGCGAGGCACAGTGGCGGTAGTGGAGGGTTTTGGTGGCGGCGGTGAGGCGATGAGATGATGAGGGTGTGTTGATCTGTTCTGATCTGATGTGTCTTCGTTGTGTATGAAATGAAATGAGTATACGGCGTCGGCTATATACCTAGACGACGCCGTATACTATATTAATTATTATATTTTTTAATTCTGTATATACGGCGTCAGCTATATACGTAGCCAACGCCGTATAATATACATATTTTTTTTTAATTCGAGTATACGGCGTCGGCTTTATATTCGCTGACGCCGTATACTATATTTATTTTTTTTATTTTTTTTATTGGATATACGACGTCGGATTTATAAAGAGCCGTCGCTGTATAATAAATTATTTTTTTTTTATATTATAGATATGGCGTCGGCTGTACTAAAAAGCCGACGCCGTATGTGTTTTTAAAAAAATAAAAATTAAATTTAAATATTTAACGTCGGTTTTTCGAAAAACCGACGTCATAATGGCGACGTTAAATCCTTTTTCTGTAGTAGTGATTGCAATATGTATTATGTAAAAATAGAAAATCTAATTATAGTTCAATTAGAAGGAAATTAGCATGTTTTAAATAAAATATTAGGTTTACTCATGGGGCATGGATGAGATGGCCCGAGTCTGATTTGAATCTGCAGGTAAATAAGTTTGATTTCATTGGATGAGAATCCACAATATGTATTTTGTTGTTAGTGTACGTATATTCTCTGCTTTTAATTTAGCTATGTAATTTGGTTTATTATTTTCATTGATTGTTTTTCCATTTTTTTATATTACTGTTTATATATATATATATATATATATATATATATATATATATATTTATTAGTAGTAACAATTATGATGATAAATAAAATTAAAACTATTATGAACAAATAATACTAAAGTGCTTATTACCTTATGAAGAACTGAAAAAGAAAATTATCGATGGTCTCCATATTTTAAAAACTCATGATCTCTAGACCCTCAAGTTATAACTCATAAGTAATGTTGCTCATAATACCACGAGTCATACGAATCACAAGATTGTGTTCAAGACTGCTATCTATTTTATATGCCGTTTTGCATATTGTACTCAAAGACTCCGGATTAGCTAAAGTGAATTCATGATGATGAGATTGCACTACCGGTTCAAAAGTCAATTTGGCATTTTCTTTCAACTATGCATTCTAATATAAAGAAGAATTATTATTTTAGAAAAGCAAATTACATCCCATTTTAAAATAAAAACATTTACAGTGTACATACCTCATCAGTTTGAGTACATAACTCTACTAGCTTCTTTAGCCAAATTATAAAGTAGTGATATGCAGCACCTAAATGCTGAATCTCACTGGTGGGGATTGGTACATTTGCACTTGGATCAAGAACTTTATCTACGCTCACCTTCACTTGATTTGCATCAAGTACAAGCTTGTGAACCTGTCCACCAGTGTAAGTTGTCCCACATGTCACTGGACGTCTAATGGAATCTTCCAAGAACACTTGACATCGTGCCCCTAACTGCATTAATTCTTAATTAAGAATCATATAAAATGTTATTAATAAATAATAATAATAAGATTAACTATAAACGATTACTTACCTCCGGTAAATCAGTAAAAGGGTCTGGGGAACTAGCTTTTTCACTTTGAGATTGTGGCTATGTTTGGCAAACCTAGCTGAAAAGGTAGCTGAAAGCTATAAGCTAGAAGCTGAAAACTGAAGAGCGGTTAACTAGCTTATTAATTTTAAAAGTGTTTGGTAAAATTAGTTTTTTGATAAGCTGATAAAGGTAGAAAGACTAAAAATAACATTTTCATAAAATTTAAATGATGTGATTATTATATTATTTTTATATTATTAAATATGGGATATATTTAATTTATAAAAAAAAAGTTTTTGTTTTTATCATATATATGAGATATATATTAAATTAAAACAAAAGATGTTTTTTTTAATTGGGAATGGTAAATGATGTCATTTATTTATGAACGGATGATTGGAGTTAGAACTTTAAGAAGTTGCTGGGCGATAAAGAGTTGCGGAAGAGGATGAATAAAATTATAGGAGAATAGATAAAGGCCAAAAGGGTTTTAATTGGTAAAGGTAAATGATCTCATTTATTTAAAATAATAAAGATAAAGATGTAAAAAAAAGTTAGGAAGCTAGCTACTAGCTTATTTTTGAAATGCTACCTAGCTAAGGTCGTACCTTTTCAAAATAAGCTCTTATTTTAAGCTATTAGCTTATTTTGGGAACATTACCAAACAGAACTTATACCTTATTAGTAGCTTAAAATAAGCTATAAACTCCTAAATAAGCTCGGTCAAATAGAGTATGTGGCTCATCATCCACACATATGTCATCCCCCGACTTTGATTGTGCATATTGGTGAATAGGAGTCTGCATAAAACCAAATGCATCATATCATCTCAACAATTTGTCCTTCAAATTCCTGACTTAATTGCTGCATCAAGTACTGACATTGTTTTTCAAACGCCACAGAAACAGAAGCATCAACTAATCGTTGGACATCTTTTGTAGGCGTTTGACGATGTTTTGCATGGCCAAATACGGGTTTTATGCCATATCCTCTCCCCATGGTTCTAACACGCGTTTTTTGCCATATCCTCTCCTTGAGGATCTTGCAACTCGAGAATATCCTTACATATATAAAAATATTCATTAATAATTACTATTATATTTTGTACATTTCATTCAACATAACTATTAATGTTGAAAATTATAACATATTTACTTAAAAATTTTCCCGCGACCAATATAGTTGCTTCTGTGCGAAAATTTACTGACCTATCCATTCTTGCTCTCTTCCACTTTTCGGCTCTACGTGGAGGAACTGGAGGGACGTGACGCAGCAGAGGCGTTGGCACGACAATGGCGGTGGGACGACAGTTGTGGTGGCGGACGGTGGAATGGAAGACGCGGTGGTGCGGTAGTTGTGGGTGTTGTGTGGAGAAGAAG